ACTTTAATTGTTGGAAAGGTTAGATACTAACCTAGACAAAACCTTGAAAGGTTAGGGAACGAATTCGTCGGGAAACACCCGTTCTAGGGACTGTTTTGCGTTTTCGGTTGGGAGTTGAACTAGCACTTTGAGGGGGGCTGTTTAACACTCAATTTCAAGCAAGGAATCAGTTCTCAAACCTTCTTGGCCGAGGCTTTGGTCATTGGATCGAGAAGGAAGGTTTTAAAGCTCATTTGAGGTGAGGACCGACATCTAGTTGCTTACAACTTGTAGGTTATGCATGAGATTACCTAAATGCTTGAGTCATGTTTTTGTGAATAAATATGCTTGAACATGATATGAATGATAAGTAATGGACTTGACCATGAATTGAAACCATATTGATGAATATGGAGTCATGTGAGATAAAAGTATGCTAATATGGTAAATTGACCTTCCAACTCATGTATGAATGTTATGTGTATGTAAATGTATAATTTCATGATGATGCTTAGCACATGGGAGGCTGCCACATATCTATTGATATGGAGGGGCTACCATTTATGATAAATGAGTTGTAGGAATAATCTTAATAGTATTGTGATGCTAGTTAAGGATTGTTCAAAATGTTGATAGAATCAAACTTAAGGTTTGAGTTGTTTGTGATGAACTTGAATAAGATTCAAGTGTCAAGTGTGATTGTATGAAGTAGGAGATCTATGGTGTGATTATATGAAGTAGGAGATCTATGGTGTGATTATATGAAGTAGGAGATCTATGGTGTGATTATATGAAGTAGGAGATCTATGGTGGGATTGTATGAAGTAGGAGATCTATGGGGTGAATACATGAAGTAGGAGATCTATGATATGATTATATGAAGTAGGAGATCTATGATGCGAGTGCATGATGATGTACTCGAGCCTAACTCTAGAAATGAGAAGTTATATTAGGGTTGGACCCTATGTATTGTCGTGACTATTAGTCACGGGGTTTGGGAAATGTTTTATAACAAACACGGGCCTTTGAGCCGACTACTTGACTTTATATAAAGTAAGTATGTATTTTGAAAGGGGTAATCTGGGATTACGGCCTATACTATATTATCACCCTATTTGAGGGTCTTGTGTGTGAAATACTTGTTGTATATCTATTAGATGCCTGCCACACCAGCACTTTATAGCCCTATAGAGTGCTGACCCCTTCGGGGGCGTCCCACCACCATTTTTCAGGTTGAGGCTAGAGCTTGCTTCCTGTGCTCGTTGCTCGAGAGATCATATAGGAGGGAAGACTTGGTTCGTGCTTCCTCCATTCTGTTTTTAAACCTTTCTAAACATGCTCATGGATATTTTACTATGGAGCCTGCGTGCTCATGAAATGCCTTGTGTGGCCCTTTTGTTTTAAACAATGTTTCCGCTGCGTTATGAATTACTTATTATGTTTGTTTATGGATGTATATGTGTGAATGATATTCAAGACGCCTTGTATAATATGAATGTGTTGGACTGCGGTTGACTATTCGTATTGTACGGCGGGTTGTTGACGTGTCCGGATAGGTCCGGGGCGTGACAATTAAGTTGGTATCAGAGCCTTAGTCCATAAACTTCATAATGAAGTCTCAAAATTCTCTTTTCAAAATGTTTTTTTGAAAACCATGAGCAAAAACGTTTTGTACTTAAGAACTTTTGGTGTTTGAGTTGCAAGGTCTCTAATTGTTAAGATGGCGCCCTTAACGATTGGTATGGCGGCGACTTGGCCCAAGAGATGTCTTAAGTACCTATCTGTCAGTTGACATTTGAAACGAGTCTAATGACTCATTCCAATTATTTCTTTCAGTGATGGAGGGTGATTGTGGTACTATGAATAGGGAGAACTCGGAAGGGTTTGCACCGGGTGGAACCGGGCATGCCAACCGAGAAAAGCCCGTAGGAATAAAGGTTCACGAAATTCTAGAAGCTCAAATCGTGAGTGGCGGTCATGTTAGAACCAATGAAGAATCACCTGGTCATAGCAAAATTGAAACACTCAAGGCTTCGGGTGACGAGGGAGATGATTTGAGTGATGAGAACCTTGATGGTGCACCCATTGAACAAATGGGCATGGTCATAGATTGGCTTCAACGTGAACGTGTGAGGCTTATACAAAAACGCCAAGCTAGGCAAGCTGAGGGCATACCGTTAGTAAGGAAAAGGAGGTGGGGAGACAACGATTCCCAAAGACATTCAAGAAGGACAAACGTTGAGGGTGACAAAACCTTCAGGGCGCAGACACTATCACTTGAGTGGAGTCGGGGCTCGGGTGGCCAGAACTCGAGGTCAAAGGGTCCGAGGGTACCTAGGTGCAACAATTGCAAGAAACACCACTCGGGTAAGTGTCACGACCCTCCTAAGTGCTATCATTGCACAGAGGTCGGGCACACGAGAGTGAGCTGCCCACAAATTGTGCAAAACCAAACTTCGGGGTCAAGTGGTGGAACTACAAGAAATGAAAACCAAACCGAGGTTTCTCAAGGGAGCAGGGGACATGGGGGAGCAAGCACGAGCAATGCGCCATCCGTGAACCAAGGAAGGACCCAAGCTAGGGTCTATGCGATGACAGAGGCGGATGCTCAAGCTAACCCGGATTCCGTTGCAGGTACTGCCTCCCGTATACTAGTGTTTTATCCTTAATTAGTCCATAAATTAAGGTTACTAATCGTTGGGATCATTGCACGAAATTTTGGGATCAAACGGAGCGAAATCGGGCGAAAGACGGCTGATTTCCGCCAATGCACACCAGGCTGGACCCTACGCACGGCCGTGCGTTGTCCGTGCGTTGGTCCGTGCGTTGGTGGCAGTAGCAACCGGGAAGAAATTGCTATACGCACGGCCGTGCGTTGGTCCGTGCGTTGGTGGCAGTAGCAACCGGGAAGAAATTGCTATACGCACGGATGTGCGTTTCCCGTGCGTTGGTCCGTGCGTTGGTGGCAGTAGCTCCGTTTTGAGGTTATAAGACACGCACGCCGTGCGTACCTCCTAGGCACGCCGTGCGTACCTCCTGGACAGCCCAAAGTCGACTTTTTCGCGCCGTATTGCAACGTTAAGACCCGTTCTTGATCCCAAACACGTGTGTGAACATAATAAACCTCTCTAAATGAGTAGGGAGGGTAGGAAAGATGTCTTACATGGTTCATGAATGTAGGGACACTAAAGATTAATGGGAAGGATGCGCGAATCCTTATCGATACCGGGGCGCAACGTTCATTTGTGAATGAAGCGTTCGCCAAGAGTTTGGAAGTGCAATCCGCACCATTGATGCAAACCTTAGTGGTATCAACACCACTAGGGGATGACGTGGAAACAACTCATTACTATCCATCTTGTGGGGTGGAAGTTAATGGTCAAACCTTGACGTGTGACTTCGTACCGCTGAGCATGATTGAATTCGATGCAATCCTAGGGTTGGATTGGCTAGAAAGGAACCATGCTAGGGTAGATTGCTACACGAAGGTTCTTAAACTCGAAGGCAATGATGGGGAGACCCTACGCTTCGAGGGCGATCGAGGGAGATCAAATAGCTGTATCATATCCGCCGTGAGAGCGAGAAGTATGATGAGAAAGGGATGCCACGCATATCTAGCATACGTGGTTGACAAAACCAAAGAGGAAACGAACATCGATGATGTGAGGGTGGTTTGTAAGTATCCGGATGTCTTCCCTAAAGACCTACCGGGGCTTCCACCTGATAGGGAGATTGAATTTGTGATCGAGGTCGAGCCTGGTACCAAACCAATCTCCATACCGCCATACCGTATGGCACCCGCTGAACTTAACGAGTTGAAAACCCAATTGCAAGAGCTTTTGGATAATGGTTTCATTAGACCAAGCCACTCCCCGTGGGGAGCACCAGTTCTTTTTGTGAAAAGGAAAGATGGGACACTTCGAATGTGTATTGACTATCGTCAACTGAACAAGGTCACAATCAAGAATAGGTATCCCTTGCCTAGGATTGATGACTTGTTTGATCAACTACGAGTGGCGACTATGTTTTCAAAGATTGACTTGAGGTCGGGTTACCATCAACCGAAGATTAAGGAAGATGACATGCCAAAAAGTGCTTTTCGCACAAGGTATGAGCACTTTGAATTCCTTGTTATGTCGTTTGGGTTAACAAACGCCCCAGCGGCATTCATGGACTTGGTGAATCGAGTATTTCATATATACTTGGACCGAATTGTGATTGTGTTCATATATGACATCTTAATTTACTCAAGGAGTGAAGAAGAACATGAGCGGCACTTGGTCCTGGATCTTGAAACACTACGAGAGAAGCAATTATGCGCCAAGTTCTCTAAGTGCGAGTTTTGGCTTAAAGAGATTGGCTTTCTTGGGCATGTAGTTTCTGAGTCAGGCATTGCCGTGGATAACAAGAAGATTGGGGCTATCACATAATGGGAAAGGCCTAAGAACGTGAAGGAGATTCGTAGTTTCCTCGGGCTAGCAGGTTACTACAGATAATTCGTGGAGAAGTTCTCAGTTTTAGCATCGCCATTGACGAAGCTCACTCGAAAGGGAGCTAAGTTTATATGGGATGACAAATGTGAGAAAGGATTCATCGAACTGAAGAAGAGATTGACCGAGGCACCGGTACTTGCATTACCCAAACAGGGTGTGGGGTACGATGTCTATAGTGACGCGAGCATCCAAGGGTTTGGGTGTGCGTTGATGCAGGAGGGGAGGGTAACTGCCTATGCTTCACGACAGTTGAAGAAGCATGAGGTAAAATTATCCTACCCATGATCTGGAGCTGGGAGCAGTAGTGTTTGCACTGAAGAATTGGAGACATTATCTCTACGGAGAGACATGTCACATATATACTGATCATAAGAGCTTGAAGTACGTGTTTACTCAAAAATAGTTAAACATGAGACAGAGACGGTGGATGGAGTCGATAAAGGACTACCATCTAGTTATTGAGTACCATCCAGGTAAGGCAAACGTTGTAGCAGTTGCCCTTAGTCGGAAGAGTTCGTCTGGGGCATTGTTGACTAGTTTGAGGGCACTGAGGGCCCAATTGGATGTATCTAGCGACGGTGCCTTATTAGCACGATTCGAGGTGAGCCGACCTTACTTGATGAGATCAAGAAGGGTCAAGAGGCTGACGTAGAACTTATAAAGGCCCGGGAACGCATGCAAGCGGGACCGGTGGAGCATTTCAGGGAAAGAGATGATAGTCTCTTGTTATTTCGTGACCTAGTGTGTGTACCGTCAGATGATGAGCTCTGAAAGTCCATCTTAGAGGAGGCTCATTCATCGGCTTATGCCATGCACCCGGGGGGCACGAAAATGTATCGTGATTTGAAAGAAAGTTACTTGTGGTCTGGTATGAAGAGGGAAATAGCTGAATTTACATTAGTCGATGCCTTACTTGTCAGCAAGTTAAGGCAGAACATCAGCATCCAGCAGGCTTGTTACAACCACTTTCCATTCCTGAATGGAAGTGGGAACATGTGACTATGGATTTCGTGGTAGGTTTACCACGAACAATTCGGAACTATGATGCAGTTTGGGTTGTTGTGGATAGGCTCACGAAGAGTGCACACTTCTTGCCTATCAACACTACCTACCCACTTGAGAGGTTAGCCAAATTGTATACGGATGAGATCGTGAGGCTGCATGGGGTCCCAGTGACCATTGTATCCGATAGAGACCCACGATTCACATCACGTTTTGGCCGAAATTCCAGGAGTCTATGGGAACGAGGTTGAAGTTCAGTACTGCTTTCCATCCACAGACGGATGGGCAGTCTGAAAGGGTTATACAGATCTTAGAGGATATGCTGAGGGCTTGTGCGTTAGAGTTCCAAGGAAGTTGGGACAACCAATTAGCACTCGTGGAGTTTGCCTATAACAACAGTTATCAGGAAGGTATCGGCATGCCTCCATATGAAGCATCGTATGGGAGGAGGTGTCGTACACCGTTATGCTGAGACGAGGTTGGCATGGCCAAACTCGAGGGTACTGAGTTGGTTGAGATCACCAAGTCAAGGGTGAAGTTGATTCGAGAGAGACTCAAAGCGGCTCAGGATAGACAAAAGAGTTATGCAGATAAGCGTCGAAGAACCTTAGAGTTTAAGGTTGAGGACGAGGTATTCTTGAAAGTTTCTCCTTGGAAAGGAATCATTCGATTCCAAACCCGAGGAAAGCTTAACCCACGATACATAGGTCCATTCAGAATTATAGAGAGGATTGGGGCCGTTGCATATCGTCTACAGTTGACTTCTGAATTAGAGAAGATACATAATGTGTTTCATGTATCCATGCTTAAGAAGTATGTACATGATCCCTCCCACGTATTGGAAAAGCCGCCTGTAGAGGTACGTGAGGATTTGAACTACGCTGTGCAACCAATCAAGGTCACCGATAGAAAGGTGAAGAAACTGAGGAGCAAAGAAGTCCCAATGGTTAAAGTCCTTTGGAAGAGCGATCGGGTCAAAGAAGAGACATGGGAAACAGAGGCCTTGATGAGGAAGCAGTACGCTTCTCTATTCGAGTAGAGCTGTGAATTTCGGGGACGAAATTCCTGTTAAGGGGGGGTGAACTTGTGACACCGCACCCGAACGTCCTTTAAAATTCAATTTAAATTCAAATATATGTATCGAATTTCCGACTCCAAACAATTGTAAAACGATTAATGTCCTACGTAGTGCATGGTTGAATATCGTACTATTCAAACTCGTACATTAGTGTCGGGTTTTGCAAATACTTATTCGGGACTTATTAATAAATAAATAAAAAAAGCCCAACATTATCTAAATAGTGATACATAATCTTTCAAGACAATTTGAGGAAGGTCGGGCGGCCCAAACATTATTTGGGGCCCAACCTGCTAAAAATAGCAAGTATTCGAGAATGACGTTCTAGACCCACTCGGGAGTGACCCACACGGCTAGTAGCCCAATAATATGTATGACAAATGTCAAATAAGTGATAGAATGATTAAAGAAGAATACAAATGCCTATAACCCCATCTTTGGCATTATTGAGCTAAATAATGGGAGTAGGATTTTCCTGCTATGATATCCATCAAGTAAATTATTGGGATGAGCCTACACATATTGGAGATCAATAATGTGATTTAATAAGTTGACTTGTTCTAAATAAATTAGGATGAGTACAAAAAGACATCTTTGACAAAAGATAAAACAATAGGACCCATCTTCCTATTTTTGGAAGTATTGGTAGATGTTTTGGACCCCAAATTGATTGGGATCACTTGGGGAGCACCCCACACCTTCTTGGAACCTGCAAAATAAAGAGAATGAGTTAAAATCCTTGGTTGGGGCGGAAAAAAAGAGAGGGGGGCTGAACAAGACATGTTTGTGAACCAAATGGACCCTCTCCCCATTTTTTTTTGATTGAGATATCTTGCTCAATCATCCCACATGCCAACCCACTCCTATCCTTTGACTTTTGAGGCTAAGTTAAGGCCAAGATAACACTTCCACAGCTCCCATTCGAACTCCCCAAGATAAGAGAGAAGAAGAGAGCCACACAACCTAAAAGAGCAAGGAGAAAGCAAACTGCCCGCAGGTTTTTCCTCCAGTGAAAGGGTTACTTGTTTGCTTCATATCTCGAGTTATACACATCCAAATAAGGCGTGCGAGATACCAACAGAGAGCTCTCAAGACTAGGAATCCGTGAAGGTCTGATTTGCATCAATCGGAGTAGTGGAAGGCTTCCAAATTGACCGAGCAAAACACGACCTCGCAGGAAACGTTTTTGTATTCAAAGTAAGTTTGAATCCAAAACCTTCCTCCCTATTGTCTAAATCATATAAATGATTGAAGAACTATTATACACTGATTGAAGTGTATAAAATGTTATTATTATGTGACTTTAATTGTTGGAAAGGTTAGATACTAACCTAGACAAAACCTTGAAAGGTTAGGGAACGAATTCGTCGGGAAACACCCGTTCTAGGGACTGTTTTGCGTTTTCGGTTGGGAGTTGAACTAGCACTTTGAGGGGGGCTGTTTAACACTCAATTTCAAGCAAGGAATCAGTTCTCAAACCTTCTTGGCCGAGGCTTTGGTCATTGGATCGAGAAGGAAGGTTTTAAAGCTCATTTGAGGTGAGGACCGACATCTAGTTGCTTACAACTTGTAGGTTATGCATGAGATTACCTAAATGCTTGAGTCATGTTTTTGTGAATAAATATGCTTGAACATGATATGAATGATAAGTAATGGACTTGACCATGAATTGAAACCATATTGATGAATATGGAGTCATGTGAGATAAAAGTATGCTAATATGGTAAATTGACCTTCCAACTCATGTATGAATGTTATGTGTATGTAAATGTATAATTTCATGATGATGCTTAGCACATGGGAGGCTGCCACATATCTATTGATATGGAGGGGCTACCATTTATGATAAATGAGTTGTAGGAATAATCTTAATAGTATTGTGATGCTAGTTAAGGATTGTTCAAAATGTTGATAGAATCAAACTTAAGGTTTGAGTTGTTTGTGATGAACTTGAATAAGATTCAAGTGTCAAGTGTGATTGTATGAAGTAGGAGATCTATGGTGTGATTATATGAAGTAGGAGATCTATGGTGTGATTATATGAAGTAGGAGATCTATGGTGTGATTATATGAAGTAGGAGATCTATGGTGGGATTGTATGAAGTAGGAGATCTATGGGGTGAATACATGAAGTAGGAGATCTATGATATGATTATATGAAGTAGGAGATCTATGATGCGAGTGCATGATGATGTACTCGAGCCTAACTCTAGAAATGAGAAGTTATATTAGGGTTGGACCCTATGTATTGTCGTGACTATTAGTCACGGGGTTTGGGAAATGTTTTATAACAAACACGGGCCTTTGAGCCGACTACTTGACTTTATATAAAGTAAGTATGTATTTTGAAAGGGGTAATCTGGGATTACGGCCTATACTATATTATCACCCTATTTGAGGGTCTTGTGTGTGAAATACTTGTTGTATATCTATTAGATGCCTGCCACACCAGCACTTTATAGCCCTATAGAGTGCTGACCCCTTCGGGGGCGTCCCACCACCATTTTTCAGGTTGAGGCTAGAGCTTGCTTCCTGTGCTCGTTGCTCGAGAGATCATATAGGAGGGAAGACTTGGTTCGTGCTTCCTCCATTCTGTTTTTAAACCTTTCTAAACATGCTCATGGATATTTTACTATGGAGCCTGCGTGCTCATGAAATGCCTTGTGTGGCCCTTTTGTTTTAAACAATGTTTCCGCTGCGTTATGAATTACTTATTATGTTTGTTTATGGATGTATATGTGTGAATGATATTCAAGACGCCTTGTATAATATGAATGTGTTGGACTGCGGTTGACTATTCGTATTGTACGGCGGGTTGTTGACGTGTCCGGATAGGTCCGGGGCGTGACAAACTCACCTCAACGACTGCAATTGCCCTTGTTACCTATGTATAATTTACTAGAGGTTAAACACACCTCAAGGACTACACTTGCCCTTGTTACCTATGTGTACTTTACTGGAGGTTAAACACACCTCAAGGACTACACTTGCCCTTGTTACCTTATCTTGCCTTGCAAGTTCTTTAACAATATAGTTTGTATCATCATACTCAAATCAACTTAGGGCTAACTTTTATCAAGGCTTCCCTCTTACCTCAAACCATGAATGGACCGCCCCGGGTCCAAGTCATGCTCATACAACTAGTTTCGGGCCCCACCGGAACCCGAGTTACTCATTGAGACATTTAAACTTAACATTTACATTACCGACCTTAGTCGTGATAACCCTAGGTCAACTATAGGTCAAGCATAATTTTAAATTTGGTGCCCAACTTAAAATATCAAACCACGGGTTAACCTCGCACCGACTACCCGCTTGAATTATCGTTTGGAAATAAGGAACTCCGACCGGCATCGGACACGCCCTAAGCGGTGCCGAACATAAGTATTAATATCCGGAAAATAGGTCCACGCACGCATAAGCCAACCGGCGCTGGACGCACGCATTAATTGTTCGAAGAAAACAGTTCCAACCGGCGCCGGACCTCGGTCCACCGGCGCCGGACATTCTTCTTTTGGCCGGCAAAAACTCACGAAATCGGCGCCAGATCTTGCCCAACCGGCGCCGGACTTTGCTGCTCCCAACGGCCAAGTCCGCCTGTTTTGAACCGGGGACGGACGTCTCCTAACCGGCGCCGGTCAACGCCCGGTCAACGGCCGATAACTTCGGTCAACTCCCGTTTGACCATCCAAACGGAGTCCGATTTCCACGAAATTTTATACACTTATACAACAAGTCATTCTTAGTCCAAAAATGTCATTTTGGATGTCCAAATCATCACACATAATTTTTAATTATTTTCTCTCCAAGTTAAAGCATATAAAGTATACTTATTAATACCATTAATAAGTAAATATTGCCTTAATACATTCTTAGATGTATTTTAACATTTCATGGAATATCATTCTGATTTATTTGAGTAATCTCATGCCCAAGCCCAAAGCATGGCTCATGATCCTTTCTTACAACCTTTTATTCACACCATTAATTGATTAATCATTAATTATGTCATATTTCCATAATCCATAATTAATATGGCAAATCACAAGATCACATATCCTTTTTATATTTCCTTACTAGATAACTCTAGTTAATCACATACATAGTTCAAGTATACCTTTTTATTCATTTAAGAAAATATACTCATGATTAATTAATAAATTAATCTATTCTTTCATTAATCATATAATATCTCCATAATCCATATTTAGTATGGGTGATCACAAGTTCACATATCTCTTCATATATTCATGTACTACATTACTCTAGTTAGTTTCATGCATGGTCCAAATATACCTTCTTATATATTTGAGAAAAATATATTCTTGATTAATTAATAAATTAATCTATTTTTTTCATTAGCCATATTCACCACGACTAATCATGCATTTTAATACATTTAATCATTTCTCAAATCATGGTTATGATTTTATTTAGGTAATCCCACGTTTCGAACCAAGAGTTACAAGACACGTAGTCGTCCACTCACCTTGAAATGACGCTAGCAAGCTTTTATCTTCTTTGTTCGAACTCCGCCGACTTTTGAATTTTCCGGCAAAAACTCCGGCGGCTCCTGCGACTTTTCCGGCCACTCCTAGATTCCTTGAGAAGTCTATAATATCTTGGTAAAAGACCTAACAAGGTTTCATAAACCAAAAGTGGTATAAACATCAAAACCTTCCGAGAAGGTGTTTTCCGGTGAACCGGTCTTACTCCGGTCATAACTCCGTTCATGGTTAGTATCCAACCCTTTGGATGATTAAATTACTATATTAAGGTCTTATACTACACTTATAATCGTGTAGGATATCCACTTTATTCGTTAATAGGGTTTATAAACAATTTTGGGTAATAACTAGAAACCAAATACAAACTGTTTTGAGAATCCAGATTTATACCTCGTGTGTTTATCTGCCCTTTTTGAGCTGTAAACACCTAGTATCCTTAAGTGCAGCACCTCGTATGAAAGCTCTCTTCAAGACCTATCTAATGACACCTCACTCAAGCTCATTGGATAAGAGATGCGTGAGATATGAGGTGAACAATCTCGAGGGTTGAAATTGTACGAGCTAGTTGGCATCCTTTTTCTCTTTTCTTGCTTCCTTCTTTCCCCTTGTTCTTAGTTCTAGTAGAGCTGGTGGAGATGATGTTTTTGAGACTCTTTTCCTCCCTAATTGATGCTAGGGCCGAAATAATAGGAGGGTGGGTGAGTGAGATGTCCTTTTTGTCTTTCATGTATGAATGGTGTGGGGGAAAGGTTCATTAATCCCCCCATCATCTCAATTCATTTCCAGCTCTTCAACATGGTTCTCCTCACTTATTTGAGACCATAAGTCGTGGGATGGCCCCCACCCATGTGGGAGATCATCCCTTTATGTCCCAAAGTGTATTTTCGGTCCCGAAAGTTGTATTTTCCAGACTGTTTTAATTAAATTTTATTTTATCGGGTCAAATAAAATATGTATCATTATTCCAATCAATATTGGCCTCTATAATGAATATATATAACCCAACTTTAATTTAGTGGTCCCCGGGATTCATCTCAGGTTGTTATCTGATTAATTAACTATACCGATAATGGGACCTCGCTTGATCGAAAAGCCAACTTTATGGCTCAACATTAATTTACACCATCATATAAATATTATCTAGACCAAGATGAATATAATATGTGGTCTGTAAATATCGGATGGTCCCCGCCCATGTGTGGGCCCAACGTGCATTTTACTGTTCAAGTAACAGTAAAAATGAGAACACGTTGCTTCAAAAATTCGTTCATCATTTCTAATGACTAAATATGTGTTTTCATATTTTGTGACACTTTAATAAAATGTTACACTTATTTTTAAGTGGTCCGAACTGTATGAACAGATAAAATCTTATCTGTTTATTCTTATACGAAAATATCAAGGTAGGGTCTTCCAAAAGTACCCACCTCCAACATGTCAAGTTACTCATTATTATCCATCATCCCATATTTTGGGTTCTTAAAATATTTATATTCCTTCTATTATTAATTCGTAGCCTTCTGAATTATTATTAATCTGATAATTAATGATTCACAATTATCGGATAGAGACACCGGCCCGCTTGGTCGTCTAGTTGTCATTCCTTATATCATTGGGGTCCATGACCCATCCCTACTATCATAATAATATCATTTTGGTAAACATTAATATTTTATAAATAAACTTAGAATATCACGAGAGGTTCCCCGTCAAAATTAATAACCCTTTATTAATTTAAGACATAATTTTACTTTCTCATTTATCAAAACTATTCTTAGTCTTGATTTACCTTCTTTAACCCAGTACTTGATGAAAAAAAATTCTCACAGTAAAATTCGGGTCCGGTGTTACATCTTCTCTCCCTAGAGGATTGCCTCAACTCTGGTGCTGGTAGAGAACTAGATTGAGGATCTTCCTGATTTGATTCATCATGAGTCTCTTGGTTGCTTTGCTCATGGTTTTCATCATCAATATCTTGAGGTGTTTCATCCTCGCGTCGAACTGGAGTTTGTTCGGTCCTCTTGTTGCTTCTCAATCTTGGTTTCTCCGAGTTTTTAATATCTTCAATCGTTTGGTCTTCGAAGAAGATAACATCTCTGCTACGAACAACCTTCTAATTGATTGGATCCCATAGCCGATAGCCAAATTCGTCCTTGGGTGAGCGAAGGTAGATACACTCCTTCGTCTTTGCATCAAGCTTTGCTCGCTCATCCTTAGGAATGTGAACAAATGCTCTGCACCCAAACACCTTAAGATGATTGTATGAAGCCTTTTTGCCCGTCCAGACTTCTTCTGGGATGGTACCGTTCAAAGGAGCCGATGGTGTGAGTTTGACAATGTCAACTACGACCATTATAGCCTCTCCCCAAAATGATTTGGGTAACTTAGCATGAGAGAGCACGCATCGAACTCTTTCTTCAATTGTTTTGTTCATTCTCTAGCCTAATGCCATATTTCTTGCAGTAAGCTTCAAAGGGACCTCTATACTCACCTCCATTGTCCAACCGTACACACTTGATCTTCCGGCCGGTCTCACGTTCTACTAGAGCGTGGAATTCCTTGAAGGCGTCATGCACTTGATCCTTGGATTTTAACAGGTGCAACCACACCTTCCTTGAATGATCATCAATGAAGGTCACGAAGTACAATGCACCACCAATGGATCTCTCGGACATTGAGCACACATCGGTGTGTACAAGGTCAAGGATGTTCTTTCTCCTTGTGGGTGGAGAAGATATTTGGAAAGCAACCCTGTGTTGTTTCCCAACTAAACAATGTGCACAAGGATCAAGTGACTTACCTTTCATGTCCGGGAGGAGATGCTTCCGAGCGAGTATGTGAAGGCATTTCTCACTGATGTGCCCAAGTCGTTTATGCCATACCTCCACGTCATCGGTGATTACGTTTACCTCTCCTTTGCAAAGTTTAGCTTGCATCACATACAAGGATCCTTCCTTCCTTCCTCGAGCCATGACTAGATTTCCTTTGGTGAGCTTCCATTTTCCTTCACCAAAGTAGTTCATCAGACCAGCACCATCTAACTTTCCGGCGGATATAAGATTGAGGCGCATGGTCGGGACATGCCTCACTTCTTTGAGAACAAGCTTGCATCCGGTGCTAGTTGTTAGGACGATGTCTCCTATCCCAACGATCTTGCTTCTATCTTGGTTTCCCATTTGAATCGTGCCAAAGTCACCGCTTTGGTAGGATGAGAAGAAACTTCCATGGGGAGTGACATGGAAGGAAGCACCAGAATCGATAATACAAGAACTATCATCGCAAGCAATGTTGAGGATATTACCTTCTCCAACGAGGTATAACAGATCTTCTTTTGCGACTACGACAGTTGTACTCTTCTCTTCTTGCTTCTTTGTTGGGTTGACTTGGTCTGGCTTGACATTACCGGCCTTTTGGTCTCTTTTGAAGGATCGACACTCCATTTTCCTGTGGCCCATTCTTCCACAGTAGTAGCATGTGATCTTCGAGCGTGACTTGGACCTACCTCGAGATTGATGCAAATCTCGGCTATTACTACGTCCACGAATCTCATTCCTACCCCGATTCTCAATAACATTAGCCTAGGGATGCATAGACTCACCTCGTTCCATTCTCCTTGCTTCTTCACCGATAAGGCTATCACTAACGGCATCCATGGTGAGCTTTCCTTCCGGAGTTGAGTTACTAAGTGTAACTACAAGAGTGTCTCAACTTTCCGGCAAGGAACTGAGTAGAAGGGCTTGCAACTCGTCATCAATCTTCATCTCAATTTTGGTTAATTGATTTACGAGCCCCTTGAAATTGTTCAAGTGTTCAATCATACTATGACCATCCTTATACTCCAACTTCACCAACTGTCGAACTAAATTGGCCTTATTACGAGGTGTCTTCTTTTGAATCATGGACTCAAGCTTTGTCCATAATTCATAAGCATTTGTGTAAGTAGAAACATGCTCGAAGAGAGATTTGTCGATATACTTACGGATCATAGCAACAGCCTTTTGATTTAGTAGCTCCCATTGAGCATCACTCTTGCCTTCAACCTTCTCTTTGTAGATGATGGGCTCATGCAAGTCCTTGCAGTATAAATGATCTTCCATCATCGGCTTCCTATATGAGTAGTTGTTGGCGGTGAGCTTGAACATGTCTCCATCATGAGCGACGTTATCCTCCATCTTGAACTGCACGAGCTAATGACGATCTCAGGTGAACCTGGCTCTGATACCACTGTTGGGAAAAACTCCGGACTTTCCCGCTTCGTGAAGTTAAGATAGGCACTTAGGAAATTAGGTAGCAATGGGAGCTCACGATTTAAATTCTCCAATATGGAGATTCTTCCACTATACAAAAGAATAGTAGGATTTACAAGGATGTTACAAAATTGTCTCACTCAATGGTGGCTCACTCGAGCTTGAGGATAGGAACTTCCCAAGCTAACTCTCTTCTCTCTCAAAGAGGCTCTCTAACTCTCTAGCTTTCTCACTCTAGGAAGTGGCTTTTCTCTTGATAGGATGGTTAGAAATGGATACCTCTACTCCTATTTATACTACTCCACCTTCACAATGAATGGTGGGGATGATTTCTATCCAAGGATGGAGATTGATTCTCTAGAATGCTCCACACACTCTAAGAGGCTCTATACTCTTCCACTCTCTTCCATATCCTTCCATACTCTTTCATAAGCTTCCGAAAGGTTCCACACATCTCTAGAATATTCTAGAGGATTCCACATTATTCCACATTTCCACATACTTCTAAAGAGTTCTAGACGTCTCTAGGATTCTCCGGAACGTTCTAGAAAATTCTACACTTCTCCAGAATGCTCTAGAATTTTCTAGAACCTCTCCAATTAAGGAGGGATCCCAACAATTTATCCCCTCAACCTCAACCCATAAGGTGGAATCACCCACCCAAGGCAGCGCTTCACAATTCACTCGGTGTCGTGAAGGAGTAAATCATACGTAGTAGTAATTTTCGAGCGAGATGCTTTTGAGCCTGATGCGTGTATAGGCATGGACCGGTTCTGGTCTAACCGGACCGGTGAACCAGCCCGGGAACCGGGCCTAGGACCGGCCCGAGGTGTTAGGGCGGGCCTGTTTCGGGCTTGCCCTTCCTTTGGAACCGGTCCGGGCCTATATATATATATATTCATTTTTTTTATGTAGGCGGGTTGGGCTGGGTGTTTTTTTTTGGGGGGGGGGGGGTTGGAGGTTAATTAGAAAAGCAAAAAAAAAATAAGAACCGGCCCGGCCTCGACCCGGTGGAATCCCGCGCCGGTTCCGGGCCTTCACCCAACAATAAAAAGCCCGGTTTGGACCAGCTTGGAGCCCGGCCCGGTCCAGAACCAGTCCATGCCTATGCGTGTAAGGAGTCACCACATTGATGAAACTCTCACATATTCATTGCTGGAAATTGAACTTGAAACTTCACCCCAATTATCTCACTCAACTACCAATGAGCTATCCGTACATGTATTTTAGTCGTGCAAGGATCTTTAAACTTATTTTGTAAGAATTAATTTTTGTTTCTTATAGGAAAATTCAATAGAGCAACCGGGAGAAATATATACGTATAGATTATAGTGAGATTTGGAAGTCTTTTCATCTTCATTAACTTTGATTTCATGTTTTCAAATATCAATTCACGTTAGCAATCATAAACTCTTGGGGGAATAAGGTTTGGATTTCATAGAGATATTTGGAAGTAGCATAATATCAACATTTTAACGTGTAAGTGGTTAATTTGAAGGTGCACTTTGATTCTGTTCTCTTATTCTCTTAGCACCCTTTTGTGATGCATATTATAACCTTTTCAGCAACTCACATTTCATTTCAGGCAAGCTGGCAAGGTGCACTTTTTAGATGTACAGGAACGCATGAAATATAATTTACACATACGAGAATACATGCTAAAGTTAACACATTTGCTAAAGAGCATTTCTTTATACATATCGCCATATTTTTATTTATGAAATTGATTAGCTTTCACTATGAACAAGATCAACTCTTTTTCAAGTCATGGACTTCTCATTTGACCACACCAACATACCCCGATATGCGCATACACACAATTTGAAAAGTTTGATATATACCTTACTAACCTCTATACGCAACTGAAAAAACAATAGCAAAGTTTATTAGTGACTTAAGTCTTAAGTAAATCAAACTAGTATCATATCTTTACATAAATGTTCCAATAGACAATTTTATTCAAATTTTCAGCCAGAATTATGTGTAAAATCCATTTTACATTACTTTTGTCTATGTTATTAATGTAAGGTAAACTCTATGCATGGAATTTCAATCATCACATAGGATTTCTTAGCCGGAAATTTGAAAAATATTATCGGTTGAAACATTTACGTATAGCTATGACACTCATTTGTTCCATTTAAGAGTTAAAATACCAAAATGCAACAATATCAATATTTAAGATGTAATTTGTCCCTCATAACCATGAAATTAATGAGGAATTCCTACTACAAAGTTAATAGAGTGAAGGAGCTGTGTGGGAATTAAAATACTACCCCTCCATCCTGTTCAAAGGTTCTCATTGCAAAATAACACAATTATTTAGACAATAATTAAATATTGTGAAAAATAATTTGAAATGATTATATAATATAATGGTGTTATTGATAATAACCGTGATGTTATAGATGTTTTATTTTAATACTTGATGATTAAATTGTCATTTAGGACTTGGGAGTATTAATTGCTTTCTAAAAAAGAAATGAGAAGCTTTAAATTGGACATCCCAAAAAGGAAAGTGAGAAGCCTACAACTAGTGATGGACCCGGGCCGGGTCGGGCCCGGGCCGGGCCAAGGCCCGGTCGGGCCTCGGGTCTGGTAACGGTAGGCCCGGGACCGGCCCGGGCAATGGCCGGTTCCGGTTCGGGCCGGGCCACCCGGCCGGGTCACGGGTCGGGCCACCCGCCGGGCCGGGTCGGGCCAGTATTTTTTTTTTTAAATTAATTATATATTATACAAATTCCTATTAAAAACAAAGTTCAAGTGCATTTATTTGAAATAGGAACTACATTTGAGAATTGAGAAAAAAATAACAATTCGAAATACATTTTCTAATGAATATCAATTGGGATTTCCGCCACCGTTGGTTGTTGTTTTCCCTTTGTCACAGGACTTCATATGTTTTATTGGCATCCCGTATCCGTGTGAACGCCCCAAGCAACACTCTTTCTTGCAGCACCTGCAAGTTGCCCACCACAGTCCGGTCTTCGGGTCCTTCCACTTGTCAAAATTGTTTTGCATAAGGGAAGATGTACTTTCCATATTTAAAATGGTATATGTATAAGTAGGATTGTAGGAATGTAGGATAATAAGAGAAGATGGAGATGGAGAAGAGTTGGAGAAGAATTGGAGAAGAGGTGTAGAAAAATGTTAGAAAATAGATGTATTTATAGATGTTTTTGAACCCCACTCCCCACACCACCACCCCCGGGACCCCCCCTGCCCCCCCCCCCACCCACCCACCCATAGCCCCAACGGCTATATAGCCGTTTGGGAGGTTTGATTTCAAAAAAAAATTGTTTTTTAAAGTTATACATATTGTAAAATAAATAAATTAATTTAATGAATTAAGTAAAACTAAAACTATTTGTACTTAGAAAAGTGGTTTGATTTATAATTTACAAATGTTACAAAATAGGTGTATAAGTATTTAAACAAATTACATATTGTAAATGTATTTTTAATTTAAAAACCGGTTTTATATTTTATAAAAATAATTTTAAGTCGTTAGTTTGTAACCAATTAATTAATTTGAGAAGTGCTACATATGAAAAAGTGAACGCATATTTATTTGAAATATGAAGTACAAGTTTACAAATTAATTTGAAGTACAACTACAAATTTACAATTTTGAAATATGAAGTACAAGTTTACAATTTTGAAATATGAAGTACAAGTATAAATAAATTTGACAAGTGCTACAAAATATATTTTATAATAAATTCTATAATACTAATCAATCGGAATCTCCGGCATAGGTAGAGCCACCATCGGTTGTTGAGTCATCCATAAAATCTTGGGAGGGGGTGATGCTCATTTCTTGAGTTCTTCGTGCGGCCTTCAACCAATCGTGCTAGCATATAAGCGTCTCAAGAGACTCCGCGCTCAATCTCGATCTAGATGCCGTTAGGACGTTGCCGGCCGAACTAAATTCTTGTTCCACAGCAACTGTTGAAATCGACATTGATAGTACTTGCTTAGCCATCCGTGCTAAAATCGGGAACGTTCTTTCTTTTGACTTCCACCAGTCTAGAACGTCAAAGTCATCATTTTCTTCAAAATCAACTTCATATGTTAAATACAAAGTAATCTCATTCAATGCACTTTGTTCAGTGACGTGAGTTGTTTTTGTTTTTTTCATAAGATTGCCAAATGCAGATTTAAAAATCGATTTTCCTTTAGATGAAGATGTTCGTGACGGGGGAGGGGGAGCGTTGCTATATTGTGCACGAAACTCATTTAATAAGGCATAAAATAAAGTACTAACCTCGTTGTATTCCGTTTTCAGATCTATGGGGTTATCGTCATACATTGGAAATTCACCAAAAAACGCAAGATAATAGAAGTTGAAACAGTCTTTCAAATTAGCAAGTCTATAACAAGGATCGAGAATAAATGCAATACCATAAATATGGGGAATATGCGCATAATATTTTAAAAACTTTTCCTTCATATAATCACAAAAATAATGAACGAAAACGGCATTCTCAAATTCTTTAAAAGCACCGGCGAGATTAACAGCTTCACGAATAAATTGGTTTGCGGTAGGTTTATAAACATGACTAAAAGTTTCAGTAGCATTAAAAAAAATATCAAAACATTACAAATTTTTTCGCAAGTGTCGATCTCAGCTGCGTTTATAATATAGTTATCATGTTCTTTTAAAAAAGCAGGAAAATGTTCTTTATATCTAAGAACAACTTTAAGTAATTTATAAGTACTATTCCAACGAATACTCAAATCTTTAGGAAAAGCAACATATCTCACACCTCTTTCAGTCAAATAAGTTTGTCATTTTAATCTAAGTTGACCATTACCCCAAATACGTCTAATCCCCCCCTTGATTACCTCCATGGAATCTCCTAACGCTTTTAAACCGTCTTGCACACATAAATTTATAACATGGCATGCACACCGTTGATGAAAAAATCTACCCATCAAAGTATTGGCACCACACAACTCACGCAATCTAGGTATAGCAGCAGTATTATTAGTAGCATTATCGAAACCAATAGCAAACACCTTATCAATCAAATTATACTCAATTAAAATACGCTCAATCAAAATATAAATATGTTCAGCGGTGTGACGATCATTAAATTCACGAAAAGCAAGAAACGTTTATCCATATTCCAATCCTCATCAATATAATGTGCAGTTAGACCCAAATAATATAAATGATGAAAATCATCCTCCCATATGTCAGAACAAATAGTAACACGCCCATCAAAGTTTGCAAAAAAAATTCGTAACCTTGCCTTTTCCGCATTATAAAGCCTTATTATTTCTTTCTTAACAGTTTTGCGACTATAATTTCTAAATTGAGGATTTAAACTACCTTGTGCATAATCTCTTAAAGCAAAACTTCAGAAAACAAATAAGGCAAATTTTCTTCACAAATTAAGTTAGTCATCCCAGTCAAATTTTGTGCATCATTGTAGGAGAAATTACCAAAAGGTTGAGAATTCGCAAACCTCGATATTTGAGTTTGCTTCCCCGTTCCGCCGCCTAATTTTGCATACTCCACGGGGTGCTTTGCCTTAAGATGCCTTGCGGCGGATCCGTATCCGTCGGAGGTTCCCAAACTATAATTGTTGTTGCACCACTTGCAAGTTGCGTGCCAATAGCCGGTTTGTGGGTCCTTCCATTTATCAAAATTATTTTTCATTAGTTCAGACTTACTTTTTTATTACCAGTGGCGGTTTGGGATGAGGCAGGCTCGTCGACGTCGTGGCTGCCGGCACCCTCCTCCTCGACCGTCTCCGGTTCCAATTCCTCCGCATCTTCATCCTCAAGCTCCTCTTCGTCAATGGTCGTCGGCATTTGTTGTTGTTGTAGAAAGCGGTTATTATGTCGGGCCAATTCTTGTTGGAGTTGTTCTTCGGACATCGCATCTCCATCTCGCCTTTGGTAACCCGTTTCAAAATCATCTCGGCTTTGAGATGAAGAACCGGCAAGTTCTTTACCTTTGCGGGATTTCTTCCTCCCAATCTCGTTCCTTCGATTGCGTTGGAGGTTACCCAAATCAACCGAATATCTACCACCTTCCATCTTACAAATGTAACAAATATTAATTGACAACAAATATAATAATGGATACAAAACTAATGCAACTAATTAAAACTATTTTAATTAATACTTCAAACTAATTTAGTGCAAAGTAGAATTAATGTGTGACTTTAAAATTAAAATTATAGCAACTTTTGAAGTACTTTAATTTAGTAAAAACTACTTAAATAAAATGTTAAGTACTTTAATTAAATGATTGAACTACTATTTCTTCCTACAAATATAAATTGAAAATAAGAAAATGTGACTTTAACTATAATGACAATTAACTAGTTTATTGAAGTAGAGTTGTTTTAACAATTAATGAGAATACTAATGAAGTAAAGAACTAGTATAATGAAAAATGTAACAACAATGCTAATTAACTAATTAACTAGTATAATGACAAATGTAACAAGAATGCTAATAAACTAATTAACTAGTATAATGAAAAATGTAACAATAATGGTAATGAACTAATTAACTATTATAATGAAAAATGTAACAAGAATGCTAATTAACTAATTAACTAGTACAATACTAGTTATAGTAAGTAATATATAATATAATGTTTATAGTATATAATATATAAGTATACTACTATAAGATGAGTAATACACTTATATTTTATACTTTAATATATAAAGTATATATTAAGTAGATGTAGAATGTATGTATTAAGTGGATATAATAATTGTATAAGAATTAAATATTAGAGTATAATGGAGAATTGGAGATTGGAAAATAAGAAAATAAGTATATATAAAATAGATATTATAAAGTATATATAAAAGTAGATATTATAAAATAAGTATATGTAAAATAGATATTATTAAGTAGAGAAGTAGATATTATTATGTATTAAGTATATAGTAATAGTTTATAAAGTATATTTAATACTTTATTATATAAAGTATATATTAAGTAGATGTAGTATGTATGTATGTATTAAGAGGTATAAGTAGAGATTAAGTAGATAAGAAATATAGGTAATATAGTATATGTATTTATAAGTAGATAATTAATATATAAGTAGATATAATAATTGTATAAGTATTAAATAGTAAAATAAAATATAAAGGAGAATAATAGAATTTGAGAAGATGAATATGGAGAATTGGAAATGAGTAGAGAGTAGGATTTAGGGAGAGTTGGAGAAGAGGTGTGAAAAAATGTTTAAAATTAGGAGTATTTATAGGTTTTTTTTAACCCCCCCCACCCCACCCCCCCCACCCCACCCCACCCCCAAAGGCCCCGAACCCCCCCGGTACCCACCCAACGGCTATATAGCCATTTGGGAAGTGGCTGTTGACCCAAAATGGGTTTTTTAAAATTAAAAGATTTTTTTTTTTTAAATATGACCGTTAGGCCCGGGCCCGACCCGGCCAGGCCGGGCCACCAAAAACAGAACCCGAGCCCGGACCCGCTACCCCCACCGGTTCGGTGCCCAAACCGGGCCGGTTCCGGGCCCGTACAGTAACGGGCCGGGCCGGTCCCGGGCCGGGCGGCCCGAACCGGGTCCACCACTACCTACAACGGGATGGAGGGAGTAGTAGATTTTTTTATGAATAAAGAGGGTAAATGTGAATAAAAATCAATGGGGTAATGGTGGGGAATAATTTCAGTATGGAAATTTTCAAAACATCAATAGAACCCCGTTTCTAAAACACACTTGAATACTGCAAAAAGCAGACCTTTTGGACGGACATACATATTACAAAATTTGCAGCTTCTTAAATAAATGGAACATAAAAATGTATATAATGCAGGGAGAATTTGGTCACACATTTGCACCCGAATCTGCACTCTCTCTCTCTCTCTCTGCAGGCTATGTTCTTTGTACTTTGTCAAAAATCTTCTACAAAAGATTCAGTCGCTTTCTACATCATGAGCTGTCTCAAGAAAAGAGAAAACAAAAAATCAGACACTAGAGAGTGCATTCATACAAATGTTGGAAACATTTTTTAATTCCTTTGTTTCGAACTTCGTGAAGAACAACAGAGGCATGGAGCCTGATTGATAGTGTGGTTCAGAACTTCAGATTTAGTTTGCCTATTCTTCATATAAGTGGAATAAGCAAGATAATAATCAAATGAGCAAAATAAGTAGCTTTTAACTTGCTTATTTGTCTTAAATGGATTTAACTAAATGCTTTCCCTCACAGAATATTCAGTCAAATAACCTCACCAAGGGGGCCTCTAAGAATAAGGACTATTAGCACACCAAAGTTAAGGAAACTGATTGAACTAAACAATGCATGAGTTACCTTCACTTAGATCATCGATCTGAGAACCATCAGCTTCTTCCTCTGTGTCACTAGAATCATCTTTGTTACTGTCACTATCTTCATCGTCGCTCTTGTCATCGATGTCTTTAATAGGTGATGTGGGTCTTGGGGGAGGCAGAAAACTGGTTGTTGTTGACCTTCTTCGTGAACTTGAAACAATGTTACTCATGTCAATTCCTTCTAGTTCTCTAGCTCTTTCTTTTCTCTTTTTAACTTCTTTAATATCTAGTGGTAGACAATAAAAAAAAGATAGGTCAACATGAGATATAGAAATAGTGTGTTTGTGTGTGTAAGAGTTCAGCAAGTACTATTTGTTCGGAGCAATGATTATAACCGTGTGATAATTAGGGGGTTAACTTAAGTCCGTAGGCGTGTGTGTACATAGAGAGAGTATATCATATTATTCATATCAAGCTCCTGACGGGATTCTTGTCAGGCGCACTCTGTTCTTGAGGAAAATATTATTCAAAGTTCCAGATTATTTCTGCTCATTAGCATTAAAATGATCATGTGAAGAATCAATTTTGTGGATGATAAATCTTTTTTTAATGATTAATTAATCTTAACCTTAGAGAGTAAGTTTATATTTCGAACAAACAAAAGATGTCAGTTGAAAAAAAAACTGGACTTTCGAGTTATATTGTGCCTATAAATACACACATGCATGTCTGCACGTTTTAGAAAACCGGTAAAATTTCTTTTGGTTTTGGCATGACACACTTCTTAAGAATGTGAAATTGTATGGTTGTGATTAAAATATATAGGAGATAAAGAATACCAACCACACAAATCTTTCCTTAAAAGGAAATGAGAAAAACAATGGACTTGCCAAAAAAATATGGAAAGAAAATAATGGTTGAGGAAGTACACTCAGTTATTTCTTAAAATGTACAAATGGAGTTGGCTACTTTGCTTGTAAAAAGAGGACTAGTGGTGCCAGAGCCACCTCAGAGGGATAATGATAAAAACACATGGATAAACTTTTAAAAATGTGAGAATTGAAGGACAGAAATTGCAACTTTAGATGGAAAATTTGTCTCAAAAGTATTACCTTTCTCTGAAGGATTAGTAGACAGTCCCTCTCTTGAGAGTATCTCTTCCAACTCCTTTACTAAGAAATCCTGCCGCTCATCTTCTGGAACCTGCTTGGCTTTCTTGTAAACAACAGGAGGTATGCTGTCGATTGTGTGGGGAGGGGATATTAAGCATTCTGAAAGTCATAAAAATGAGGAAATCCTATCTTAACAAAAGCGAAAGAAATACCCCATTCCACAAGCTTTGATTAATGATTTCAATTTTTCTACAGGTTCTCCATATCCAGCTGCTGAAACAACTTTCTTCTGCATTTTGGAAGGACAATGTTTTAAGGATTGAATATAAATGTTAACTGGAGCAAAACACATGTCAAAAGTACACAAACCTTTGCGGATCTTGAAGCAGTCGATGTTGGAGACTGATGATCTTCAGAGTCACTCTTATCCCTTTCTTCTGATCCCTTATTTCCAGATGGCTTCTTCATAACCTTCTGTTTCTTAGTAGGAACATCAATTTTTCTATCAGGGCTTTTGCGTTTCTTAGAGCCTTCAGATTTATCAAGTTTTGCCTTTGGAACAGTTTTCTTAGCTGATTTGATTCCCTTCTGCACCTTCAAACTTTCATTGTTTGAGGAGTCAGCTGTTCTTTTAGCAAAGATCTCATTTGTTGTTGGAACATCAGAGGAACTCAATACCTATTGGGTAAAAAGAGGAGATGGGAAAAAATGAAAGTTGCATAACATGCAATGGAAGTAATAACTTTTTATTAATTGTTTTAATTCTCTTTTATCCTGGAGCTTCGACTATAAACATTTACCAACCTCGTCAAGTTCATTCTTTATGAACTTCTTGAAAGGATCAAGAGCATTTTTTTCAAGACCGATTTCTTCCTCTAAATATCGACGAACACTAGCAAGAGTCATTGTCCTGAAAGCAACCAGTCAATCTCACAATTACAAGAAAATATTGAAATACACCGAAATAAATGGTTAACAGTTAATGTATACTCCAATAAGAGGAATGATCCTGTCCAGCCGGAGGGACGGGACTCTCCATCCGGCCATCGCCGTTTGGGGCGGTTCCCGGTGGAATTTTCTGATGATTATTTTTTAAACATGTTCATCATCAAGTCTAGTTTATCCACACAAAAATTCAGCTAAAAAATCGATCGAGAAGGTGGTCAAATAATTTGTTGAAGATAACTGCACCATATTATACATATAAAACACAGTTATTTTCAAAAATTTATTTGACTGCCAAATTTATTTGTCCGGACGGCACTTGTACAGGATCTTTTTCCACTCCAATATATTTCTTAAATATATGCCCGGTAAGTAAAAGTATGTGTTCAAAAATGAATGCTACTTTAGAAAACCAATCAAGTAATCATCACAAAATGACTAAATTGCCTTCCACATTTATAACTTTTGAGCGCAACTTTTAAAACCAAAGTCTATAGAGCTGTGTATGCCAATTTATGGAAAAACTAATTATATCCTTAAAAACATCTCTGGTGGACAAAAATGACGAAATATTATTACCAAAGAGTAAGCAAGACAAGTGTAAAAGTATAGACTATCATATGAGGATGAAAGAGGAGATTTTCAGTTGAACACTGAATTCCAAAATAACAAACTCCAACTCGAGGAGAAAATGAAGAACTTTACTGTGATTCAACCATGGATCAAGGTAGATATCTGGTATGCAGATGAGGTGTGGCAGGATTATGATGATACAGATATTGAAGAAAATATCACTTGAAAATATTAATATGTTTACTTTACATTAATCACATTAAAAAATGTTGAGGTACATACTCAGC